CTCCCTTCCTTCAGGAAACTTCGCAGCTCTGAACTCCAATTTTTGCCTGCATTCTTTTGAAATTGCTGAAAGCTCTGATGACTACCCTGCCTCTTAGCCACTGCCCTTGCCTGCCCTTGGTTTCCTCTGGACTTTGCCCCCATGCACCTTTTCTATTGGTTGGTTTTTCTTTGTATCCTTTCACTGTAATAAGTCTTAGCTTTGAATACAACTCCGTGCTGAATCCTGTAAATCTTCCTAGCAAATCACTAAACCTGGGGTGGTCTTGGGACCCCCAACACGCATGCCCATTCTGAATTTCTGTTAAGTTGGATTGTTATCTCAGAGATTTTAATGTTCTACTGAGAATGACCAGAGACAGATGGAATTGTAACCCCTCTACATATGTGTGTAAATCGAGGCTCAGAGATGAATTTATCAAGGTCATCCATCTAGTAATTCCTGACAGAACCAGGAATTGCATCCACGTCTAACTCCAAAATTCCCCTGTACTTTCCTTATGTCTTGCATCTTCCAAATGACTAAGCAAAATTACTGAAAGGGAATGGTTTCAGTTTTTGGAGCTGTCCTGTATTATTTGAGAATTAACCATTTAACGCTCTCATTATGCACAAGGAGTGTTTTTAGATCAATAGCAAACTAAGTTGGAGTTTAGTGACTTACTGTTAACCAAAGGCAACTGTTACATTTTTTTTCCAACAAAGTATCAGTAAATTAGCAACTTACTTTCCTTTTTTTTTCCCAAATAGATAAATAATCTCTTTTTAAACATTCTGTACACTCTGTGTGTGTGTGTGTGCACGTGTGTCTTGCATGTGAATGTGTGTGCAAGTACTTATATGTATGCTGTGGGCACTTAAGACTGACAAAAGTTGTTATTTATGTTTTTTATGGATAATTTTGTTAACTTTGTGATATTTAGTAGAGGCTATAGGGTAGGAATCAAATTATGTAAGTAAAATGCTCTCCAATATTTGTGCAGATAGAGATTTCCTTTCACCTTAGACTTAACATTTCAACACAAGAAAGACACAGTCAGCGATCACAAATTTCTGACAATGTGGGCAATGGAATATTTTTCTGTTTGTAAATAAGTTTCAGAAATTCTTCCCCAGGGTATCCTTATTTATTTATTTTTAAATTTTACTGTCTGAAAACGGGTAGGTTGGTCTCAGAATTGTAAAAGAGTGCAGGGTTAAGGGAGGATCCTGAGTTACAAAGGTAAGGGAGCATTTTTAGTCTGCTGGGCTTGGGGCAGCCCATCACCTGGACTCTTTAGGAATTGAGAAAGATTGCTTTACTTTTTTCTTTAACAAGGTAGGTTTTATTAATGTCATAATAACATTTTATATTTGTGCAGCTTAGGAGTTTCAAATGCTTTCCCATTTACTATCTAATTTGAGCCAGACCACTTTGTGAGGTGGTGGGGCCGCTATACCCTTGAGAAAAACCAGTGCTTGGAGAAAGTAAGTGACTTGTTCAAGATCACACAGCTGGTTAACAGAGGAGTAGAGGCACAAACCCAGACTTACCGACTCCATGTTTCCTCCGTGCTTGTACAGGTAACAGAGCTGAGGGTCTACACCCTGGTGTCTTGGATGTCGGGACAGCTGTAATGGCAGCAAATGAGAGTACGTTTGAGGGAGACACTTAATTTTTTGGTTTAATTTTGTGCAGTGCTTAATAGTTTAACATAAGGATAGCCAGAAAACTTTCTGAATCTGAATGAAGCAGAATTATAAACCTTTTCCACATCATAACGATACCATGCAACAGAGAATTTCAATGATTTGTCCTGTGAGAATGCCCTTTGGGGGAAAGTTTTGATATTTTCCCTGAAGCAGCATGAGGAGGATTTGTTTTTGAATTAAAATGCTCTTCTCTTTTAGAATGAAATGTTTCTAAAATCCAGAATAGAAGGATATTAAGGCAGGTATTTATGGAACAGCTATTAGAGTGAAACAAAAACAAGGCAAAAGGAGTAAACATATGTGAAGAAAATGAGGGGAACAAGGCAGTAGTGGTGGGAAAAGCAACGTAATAGTGATGGGAAATAATTAAATGTTGGTTAGACACCAAGGGGGGAAAGGTGAGGTGGGATGAATTGGGAGATTGGGATTAACACGTATATATTAATATGTATAAAATAGGCAGCTAATGAGAACATGCTGTATAGCACAGGGAAATCCACTTCGCTGTACGGTAGAAACTAACACAACATTGTAAAACAACTATACCCCAATAAAAAAATTTGACTTTCTTTTTTTATGATTAAAATAATATTTGAATTCCTGTCTGCTGATATAAAGGGATTGTTTTATAACACTAGGGCAAATTACCTTAGTCTTTCTCTGAAGTGAAGGTTATTGTGAGATCATGTGTGTGCAGGAACTTCCTGAGTTGTAAGGCACTCAAAACATATGCTGGAATTATTAATAAAAGTAAAGCTGAGTTGTTAGGATTGATCTTGGGCCTTAAGTTTTTTCACTAAGGTAAAATCACTGGGATTGGGTGATATGAAAATGGGTGATCTTGTCAACTTGTGGCTTCTCATAGAGTTCAGCAAACTTTTGTTCAGGGCTACAGTATATCAAGTAGTCTGGGAGCTGACCAGCAGGAGGTGCCAAGAGACACCTATGATTTAGTACTGAGAAGACAGGTCCTCAATAGATGGTTTCAAATGCATATGAGAAGCATCAGATAGAATGTGCAGGGTACAAAGGGCGTATATAGAGAAAGGGCAGGGTGGGCTTTAATAAAAGAACATCTAAAGTGCCAGTAAGAAGGCTTCTTTCAGTGAGTGATGGGGGTTGTATTCTTCCTTCTCTTTCCTCATCTCAGTATCCCCCTAGCTCCTTAAACCCAGATCTACTGACCTCTCCTGTCCGCTCTGCCCGCCTCCCCACCATAAGTTAGCACTGATGGCCCCGTTACCATTGCAGGATGTACCGAATATTTCAGCTGTGGTGTAGTCCTTAATGAAGCTGGCCTAGGAACATGATTTTGTTAGGATCCACAGAAACAGGAGTCAAATATCAGGGCCAGTGTGGGTTACAGCAGTGGGCTAAGAATATGAAAGCTAGTCCACTCCTGGCTCTTAGAATGGGTGATGCCAGAACGTGAATGGAGTTCATGTCACAGGTGGCATATGAATAAGCCAAAACCAAGAACTTACAGTCTTAAATTATTTTCTGTATCCAGAGCCCTGAATGTTCTTTATTGTGGGATTTCTTCTAAATTTCCAGGAGCTTGCCTTCCGGGTTGTGCTTCTCTGTCTGAAAGTTCTTGCCAGCATCTGATACCAGCTCCAAGTCTCCTTGTTTTCTGTGGCTTGATCCTGGGCATCTTTATTGTCCCTAAATTAACTTCTCTCCTTCAGTTTCCTTATTGACTTACAGTTTATAAGACTAGGCTTTTTCTTTAAACTCTTTC